GCTACTAGGGGCTCCTGGCCTTACTACTAGGAGCAAGAAGCTACTAGTAACAAAGGGCATCGCTACTAGGAGCAAGAAGCTACTAGTAGCAAGACGCTAGTAGGTTGGAGTCTGGGGCTCCGCAATCAAACACCGCGGCAACTGTAATCTTCCAGGTCGGTTTCTGTTTGCTTTCGGTGGTTTGAACGATATAACTTAACTTCTCTTGGCTACTGTTGCCCGGCTTCTTGAAACGGTTTGTGTGCTCTATTTGGGGGGAGGCGCGGGCCCTAGCGCGCGCCCTATCTCCTCTCCCTTCCATTTCCCTTGCATTGCCTTCCCATTTTCCTTTAACATTCCCAAGAAAAAAAGCGAAAAGCACCTTGAACAGAAGAAAACATCCTAGACCAATTCTGCGCCCCGAGGCCCACTAGGATGCATTTTGCGGGGGTAAAGATGGGACTTTGAGTTGGGCTCAAAACAGGTTACCAGTGCCTAGACCGGGCGAACAGGCAGACACTCATTTCATTTCAATCTCCTAGTATACACACGTGAACCATCAAACTCCTTTTCCATGGAGGTGCAGGTTGGTACTCCTCAACTTGGAGAGGCACTTGCTGGTGAATCCAAGGATACCTGCTCCTTTCCTGTGGACAAACAAAATTGGCTGGTGGCTGCTTCTGGGATGGTCTCGATGCAGCTGGAACTAGGCCAGCTTTGAACAATCCTAACTGTCAATGGAGTTGTTCTGATTTTCCAGGCATCGCAGCTCGAGAAGAAGATGTTCTTGTACCAATGGTAGATGATGCCCTGGCCCCTGCCAACTGATACCCTTGCACAGGGGCAGTGGGAAGGATCATTTTGTAGAGCTTACTTGCCAGAGTGTTTGCGCGCACAAGGTGCGGGATCATTGCCGGAGGATCTTCAATTCAAGGGGGGCTGTAGGGGATCCCAGTCTGATGTGTTTTTTCTCTGGTCTTTTGATAGCCTAGAAGGCTTGGATAGCAGAATGTACAAAAGGGCGCTCTGTGGACTGTTCATGTTGTTGGACTCGAGATTGCAAAGCTGAATCGAGGAGGTCTTCAACTCAATCGGATTTCTGATTTATCACTCTTTGTGTCCTGACTGGCTCACTGACCGGAGGCACGTTGGCTTGAAATGGCAGGTCGCTGGGCCAAAAAGGATCAGTGATGGATGTTTCTTTCAGGTGTTGGTGTCGCTGCTCAACAAGTTGTAGAATCAATCATGCTCGATGTTGGGATCAACTTCCAAATTATTGACTCCCCCAAGATGCACTCTTGGAAGCATTGCTGGAACATGGGATGCCACATCCGCAGGTATATCAGCCACTGTGTTCATCTCAAGCTTTTGTTGTGTTCTTTAATCTGATCTCCTTTGATGTTTTTTGGAAGGCTAGCATCTAGCTTGCTATGCTTTGAGGACTGGTTCAACAGCACACCGATGCAGCGATGATTAAGGTGGCTGTTCAGGCTGCCGAGGAGGACAGCCTTGTTGTGTTTGTGCAGTTTCCAAAGCTTGTCCTGTCTGTGAGGACCGCTCCAGGCATGCAGATGGCGGTGTTTTGCTAATCGCAGATTCGCGTCTCGGACCTTTCGTTTGATCATCTGATGCAGACCAACCTCTGTGCTTTTCTTTGAGAACATGACTAGCCGCCCACATTGACATGTCATTTGTTGGCTTCTTTACCTCTTCCCGGGTGGCTGTCAGCAAGGCGGCAACATGCGGAGAAGCTCCTGAAGCTCAGCAGTGCACACCTGCCAAGCGGCGATTTTGCTTCTTTGGAAGCACCTGACGCACACAGATTTGCCATCGTGGTGGTGACAAAGGCACCATCGTGCCGTGTGTTGAAAACAGAAGGCGGAACTGATGGAATGTGGAATTGTCAAGTATGTGGACGCAGTGGTCTTGCTATTGAATATTGTTCCACTCGATGAGCTACGGACTCAAAGTTAAGTTGGTGTTGTTGGACATCCTGCATGCTAAAGAGTGCCCTGAATGAAGCCTGGAAGCTCCCAGGACAAAGACCGTGGATACAACTCTGCCCGACGAGCCTAGGACAAAGCACAAACTTGCACTTGTTTCAAGTTGTTTCTAAAGAACATCCACAAGCGGATGTGCGGCAGAATTTGTCTCAAGCTATTTGCTAGTCCGACTAGACGGTTCACGGCGCTCTCGTCGCTTGAGTCAGGGTTGCTCATGGCTTTGAAGTGTTTGCGTCACGTTTTGCGACCTCGCAGGGTTTTGAAGGGTTCAGTGGATTTCCACGCATCTATATTGATTCAGATTGCAGAAGTACAGGGCTGATTTGTGTTTACGCGTTTGCGGCTGCACAGATTTCACAGAAGCCGGCCATTTTTGGAGACATAGTGACCTATTGCAAGATGCTACAAGCGAAGACAGCCAATACTGCCATGATTGATGGTGGCATATATCGTTTGTTCTTCTATTTATGTTTTACCTCTTGGGGCGGTTGACTCAGTGTAGAGGGCAACGGTGAAGTGGACACCCTCAATGTTTAACGATGTTTAACGGGTAGCGAGCTTGAGAGGCAGGCCCATGTGCAGCAAAAATTACGCCAGCATAGAATAGACCCCAGACAACAAAACGTATTTGTGGTCAGCATGACGCCAGCGCCCACACTCCAAATGGCGCGCTGCCATAAACATTTGGCAGCGGCGCCCTGCAGCAACCTGCATGACACCAACAGGCAGGTTCCAATGCTCAAACTGCCACAGACATCTGGCTGCAACCCCTCAGCGGCACCTTGCATTAGCGCGCGCCCAAGCTCCAAAGCGCAGGGCACAAACATTTGGCCGGCAGCTTGCAGTGGCGCCCTGCAGCAGCACCAGCACACAGCTCACCCACTGACATAAGGCCATTGCCTTGCAGCAGCACCCTGCAGGACCAGCACACAGGCCCCTATGCGCACACTGCCAAGCAACACCTTGCAGCACCACCCTACAGCGGCACCCAGGCTCTAAAGCGCATACACTTGGCGGCGCCCTGCTTTGGCACCCCACCCCCAAACCCAAACACTGAACACATCGTCACATCAAACAAAAACATATGCCTTTCTTTGCCTTCGCGTGGGTGGCAAAGGTGCTGTGAACCGACGACAATGACAACATTTTTTCTGCCTGAGGACTTGGTGTCATGGTGACTGGAGCTTATGCTGGGAATGCCGCCTCCCGACACCAGATCCGTGGGCGCCTGAGGCGGCTCGGGCAGAAGCGGAAGGCGGGGCAGGGCTCTGCTTTTCCATGGATCAGTCTTCAAAAGTTTTTTACAAATGCTGTGGCTATGGCTCTTTCCCCTTCCAGAACAAGGCTAAAGAGTTCACAGTCAAAAGCAATAATGATTTGCGCAACCTATGCGCTTGGTGTCCAGGAGGTTCGCTTCGTGACGGTTTGCATGGAGAACCTCGGATTGAAGCATGCGGTGAGAAGCATCATCACTCTCAAGCAGAGAGAACGATTCCTTAGACTTGTGCTTTTGAAGATTTGAGATCTCCCTTAACTCCCAGGAATTCCATTTTACATTTGCTCCACAAGCGCCACAGTGTCAAGCTCAGCGTGCGTGCTGCGCATTTTTTGCTATGCTGCAGATCATGTCGGCTTGAAAGAGCATTTTTTTTAAAATTTGTTGTAAGTTTGTACTTGTTGAGTGTACAGTGTATGTATCAACACCCTTTTTAGCATTGTAATACTGTATTTATTTGCGTTGTTCGACTTCCTTGTTCAATGCCCAGATCTTTGCATCGAGGTGCAGTGGACACAATGAACATCTCGCTGCTTGGCTCCCGTGCCAAGTGACCAAACCAATGATAGCCCTCTCGAAACCATGGACGGATCGCCAGCTGCACCGGGTGCAACGTGAGCAAGATTGAGGGCAGGAACAATTTTTTTTTTTATTGAAACGCATTTGGCCAGCTTCTGCCTGGGAGCCCTACCGAAAGTACACACTATATTTGTTTATATAATATTTGCTCCAGGTTGCGATTGCATGAGCCACGTGCATTGCCCCAGGTTGGAGCAGCTTGGACAACGCTTCAGTGCAGATGTTTTGAAGGGTCTAGCGGGCAAATGACTTAGAAACAAAGATGCGAATTATTGGAACGCTACTAGGGGCTCCTGGCCTTACTACTAGGAGCAAGGACGCTACTAGTAACAAGTGCCTTACGTAACAAGAAGCACAAGAAGCTACTAGTGCGCACTTCGGGTGTCGAGAAGTTCCTATTTTTCACCGGACCGTTCGACGGGTGGCAGCCTGGCAGCCCAGTTGCGGCTGTTTCCAGGTTCTGCGGTCTTGACATTTTAGGCCCCTTGTGCAGGTCCAGAGGGTAATCTTCTGGAGGGCCGAAACGAGACGCCGAGGTTGGCGCTGCCAAAGAGTCTGATTTGATTTTGGGCCTGAACCATTTATGATCTCCTTGTTCAATCTCCCATAATCTAAAACAGATTGATCGATTGTCCTTTTGAATCCAATCAGCCCAAGTGCAGTGCCGCCCGCTTGTTGCAGACATCTCTGTACAGGGCTGTGCAAGCGTTGTGTCTTCGGTTGAAATGTTACAGAACCCACAGGATTGATTGTTCAACAGATCAAGACTCATGCAGAAGTCACCAGATCTAGAACACTTGGTATTGAGATTGATTGACTCAAATCAGAGTCCGAGTTCCAAAGCGCACTGATTCTTAGCTCTTTTTCAATCGCAGATTTGGCTTATGCATACGGCACGCATGTCACGTGTGGAACATGTGGCCGATAGCTTTGGAGAGGACATGTTGAATGAATATTGTGCAGGGGTCAGGAAGAAGCATTGGGCAGAGGTATTTATATAATCGGTAAAGCAAACGCGAGACGAAACAGAGTCAACATTTTCGGAGGTTCCAAACCAGACCACATGCAGCGTGGGGGGGGAGTTGTGCAGTCGAGATGAAGCGCTTTGGGCGCGATGGAATGTGCTGAGAGCCGAGTCTTCGGCATAGGCGAGGAGTGTTGGTAGTGCCTGACGTGTGGCCGTCGGTGACCCGCCGTTGGGTCATCACCAAATGAGGCCCTGGTTTGTTAGCCGTCCTACTGATCTTTAGCCTCAGTCTGCTGGGCTTCGTGTGAACCCTAGTGGCAGCGCTGAGGAGCCTTTGCCACCTGTTTGATTGGCCCCGGGCATGCACACGTTGCATTTCATGGAAGATCGATCAAATGACCAAACTATGTCCCTTTCGCACCAGCCTCAGCGGCCCGATCGAGCGGCACGGGGACCGGTTTCTCTGTTCATGTTCATTTGGCCAAGGTGGTGGCATCATGTTTAGCGAGATCATGCCGCCAGAGCATCTTTTGCCTTGTGGTCTTGGCCAACCTGGGGTTGCCCGGAGCTCGGGTAGTTTTCGACCACACTGACCACAGGTTGGAAGGGTCAAACAGGTCTTTTGGTGGATTTACTTTACAGCTGCTAGACTAGTTACTAATCATTGTGTTTGTTTGGCCTGGGACTTCCAACTAGACCCTGGGATGCCACACGAACCTCCAGTTTGGCTTCTTCATGAGGACTGTGTTGCTGGTAGCCTTGCCGAAGGCCCGGGATCACTTGTTCCAGATACTTTTGGGCGCCGACTTGGCTCACTCCCGAGCCAAGTGGTCAATGAAGTTCAATGGGCTACCGGTGGCGCTCAAAAACCAAAGAATCATCACCGACCATCCTCAAAAGATTCATTTTGACACCTGCCTTGCTGCCTTGTTGCAAATTATGTTGTGGCTGTCCTTGGATTGTTGCTCAGACTTCTGAGAAGACCAGTAAGGTTGAGGTTGCGGATTCACCCGGGGCTATGGGCCGTGCGCACGTGCGGGCAGGGATGCCAGCAAGTCGTGCAAGCGATCGGTATCAACCGCAGCTTGGCAAATGAAATGACTGCGTTCCACATGGTCCAACTCAAAGCGTGCCTGAGGCCAAGGGCAATTCTCAGATATTGCAGTAGCAGGCACGGGGGTTGGTCTTAGGGTCATGCTGTGCACAATTCTGAGGACTGTTTTTTTAAATGTATTTTGGCAGGGCTTTCATGCCATGTGTCGACCATTGGCCGCCTTATAGGATTATATAACAAGCCAATGCCATGAGGAGAAACCCTTTGATATGCAATCCTGATGTGGTTCTGGCATTTCCATGCCATGTACCCCCCCACAGAGAAGTGGAACATGTAGATGGCACACAATGCAAATAGAGCCGAAACGCATTGCAGAAAATGTCAGTCAGCAAGTGTCACTTGATTTGTTTGGATGTTTGGATGTCGTTTTGTAAGAGTATGCACTGCTTGAATGTATTTGGTGTCCGTGACGGCAATGTTTGGCTGTGTCTGCAGCTACCATGGTGGATGATCAGCAAATGCCGTAACAATAGGTGAGATCTCTCTCTCACTCTCTCTCTTTAAATAAAGAGAAAGACGCCTCGGGTGCATATTTAATACCTCAGCCGCTTGCTCCAGCCTTTATCAACAAAATGTGAAAAAATCGTTTTTCAGAAAAGATGGCAGTCTCTGGCAACACATGGGTCGCAGCAGGAGTGATGCAACCCTCCAGTTCCATCTACTCGCTCAAGGGGCAAAATGCAATCCTTTTGTGAATCCCTGTAAGTACTTCCCATTTGCACTGGAAAGAACCTGGATCAGTTCTTCCCATGCTGCTTGCTACATGATTTTCTGCCTCTGTCTGTATGTAAGTTGCTCTCATACAAATGTTTCTGAACAACGAAAGAGGGAATCCTTTTTTGGCGCCGAACGCTTCTTGAAAGGTTCCGTGGGCCTAAGTGCGTTCGGATGCCAAACCACCCCATCAACCCTTCCTCGCCAGTCGTGGTGATCGGCGCGCTGGGTGCCAGCGGACTGGTGGCCAATGAGTTTCTGCTACGGAGCACCGTGGCGGTGCCGCGGGACGAGCGCTTGGCGGGCTGGCGCTCTGCAGCGCTGTGAAGAGCACTCTTTCGCCACTCAAAGAAGTGGTGCAAGCGAGTGAGATGGATGAAACACCTGAGACTCTGGGCATTGAGCCCACCGTACTTGAGTATCTTTAGTGTGATTCTACGAAGGCACATGGTGAGTTTGATATCGCACTGAGAGGTTTAGCAGACATTGAGCTAGAGTTCTGATTGGACCTGTTGATAGTAGAACAAAACATGGAACTTCATTTGTCAGTCAGCTGTTGTGGATCCCTTTGCGACTTGTGCTTCTTGTGTTCACATCGGTCATACCCGGACAAAGTGCAAATAACCACTCAATTGACCGCAGCTCAGAACTGAGAGTGAAGCTTTTGGTCCCGTAGTGTTTCAGCCATGGCCGACCGCAAGGCCTGCAACTCTCACTCGGTCCGTTCTGTCAGGTCGGTTGTTTGTCTGTGGTGAACAACGCTGGATGGCCTGTTTTGGTTCCTTTCTTCTACGGGCGGCTCTATTTTTTTCACATTTTCCACGGCAAGGTTTTGAGGAAAACTCTCCTTTCTGATTTGCGCTGGTGATTTGGGTTGCAAGGCAGTAATCAAGAATGCCGACATGGCTGAAGACATGCAGCAGGACTTTCTGTCTTGTGCTATAGCTGCTATAGGCTATATGCAATTCTTCGCTCTCGGTCTCAAGATTTGCTTCTGGAACCGCCGACTATAGGAACAAGAAGCTACTAGGGGCTCCTGGCATCGCTACTAGGAGCAAGGACGCTACTAGGGGCTCCTGGCCTTACTACCAGGAACAAGAAGCTACTAGGAGCTTTTATTTAAATTGACACAACTTGTGGCAACTGCACGGTGTCTCCCATTGCAGGATGCCATTGATTCGGCGACGCAAGCACTGGAGAAGTACAACATTGAGAGACTCGATTCGTCAAACGAATTCTTGGGGAGAACGGATTTCCGGATTTCCAAGTCACTCCTCTTATTTCACAACATTGCCATTGGACAGCTCTAAGTGCAATATGAAGTAAAGAGCTGGAGGTCTCGAAGTTGGACTGAGTGACTTAACGAAGTGTGACGCCCAGGAAAGATATTGCGGCATTTGTCAAGAAGGATTGCTGACCAAAAGGTGTTTGCTCATCAGTCAGGGGTCAGGCCTACTAGCCTGCATGAGGAGGTCACATCTTTTAGTTGGCAGTCTCCTGAAAAGACTCAATGGAGGCAGGGGAAGGGTTGCCAGGAGTTCGACAAGAAGTACAACCCCACGTGGCACTGCGTCGTGGGGCGGAATTTCGGATCCTATGTCACGCACGAGACCAAACACTTCATCTATTTCTACTTGGGACAGGTGGGGTGGGTTTGGAGGTGGACGTTGATACTTTTGAGAATACCACCATTATGGTGCTGCATAGCCTAGAGTTGGCATCCTTTTTGAGTCGCAGTGGGTGACCCGTCGCCAGGTGGCGATTCTCCTCTTCAAATCAGGCTGAGAGGCGGGAAGGATGAACACCGACTGATTGCCTCTTCAGGTCCGAAGGCCCCTGGGGGAGCCCCAGAGGTGTATCCCAAATTTGAAATGCAGTTGACCAAAGTTTAGACAACAGTTTCTCCCAAGACTTGGATCTTCAGTTTTGAGTGCAGCACAGGGGATGGACAGGTTGCGGCCCTTTTGAGCCCCTTGAGCGCCATCAAAATGTCGAAAACCGTTGGACATCTTTCCTTGCTCCAGACAGTCCACCCAAGACCTGGCGTGCATGTATGAACGACGTTGCAACACGGAACACCTGCGATTGTAATCCCTCGAGTTGTCCACCAGTCATTCAGCAAGTGAGATTTCCATGCAGCGAAAAGTCATAATCCCAACAAAACTCTGCAGTTTTAGTCAAGGAAGGGCATGCTCTGCAGTCATTCCTTTCTTGAGAGACTTCTGATCTTTGCACTGGCGCACTCCCGAATGGTAGAACCGTGCTTTGGAGGAGACTACTCCACGCAGTGATCCCAACACGGCGATAAGACATCGCTGTGGCACGTTTGAGGACCCGGCTGGATGAAAGTTTCAGAACAACTGAAGACTGAAAGGCACAGGATTTGAACCCATCCCAAGGTGAGAATTTGAAGAATAATTGCCATTAGGCCCAAAAAAGTAAGTCAAGTTGATTCAATTCAATATTGTCATAGGCGAAATCGGATGGCCAGTCATACAAGGTCGGCTTCAATTCAGGGAGCTCCCAATCGGGAGCTCCCTTCCAATGCGCGCTTTTGAAATGACTGGATGGACACATGATCACTGTCCTGACTGACGAAACCAGGGATTAGAAGGTCAAGGTAACTCGAACCAGTTGTTTCAAGCGAACGCTGTATGTCTGCAAGATGGAGGTGAGCCCTGTAATTGTTTTCATTCGCGGCAAGCTTCCAAGAGAAACAGTGAGCGAGGGCAGCTAGGTAGGCAAGTTGGACGCTAGAAAGTCGAAAGTCGACCTGTGGTGTATAGTACTCTTGCGCAGCCCTGCTGCTTC